TAGTCCCTAAGGACCCCAAAGCGCGTTACATATCCAGTCATCCACCCATTCACACACACATTGGTGATGGGGTGATGACAAGCTACATTGTAGCCACAGCCACCCTGGGGCGCACTGACAGAGGCGAGGCTGCCGGACACTGGCGCCACCGGGCCCTCTGACCACCACCAGTAGGCAACGGGTGAAGTGTCTTGCCCAAGGACACAACGACCGAGACTGTCCAAGCCGGGGCTCGAACCGGCAACCTTCCGATTACAAGGCAAACTCCCAACTCTTGAGCCACAATCGCCCCATATTTATATCCTTATATTTACAAAATACACAATATTTGTCTTCATCATATCATTTTATTTTGTTGTATTTATCTGCAACACCTTAAAGGCCGGTCCCTGAAAATATTGTCTGATATTAAACCAGTCCGTACTTGGGGACTGCTGCCTTACAGCAAGAAGATCCAGGGTTGACTCCACCATCTCGCTTGGGCCTCTTCCTGTAGGTTTTTTCTGGGTAATGTGTCCACTCCTGCAATCCAAAGATATGCAGTTAAGTTTAATGATGATTCTAAATTGTATATGCTTTTTAGCTGTGATAGACTGGTGACCAGAAGAATGCTTCTTTCTCAAAGTGAGAAAGAAGCACTGACAGGCTACTTTTGAGTTGTTTTTTTTTTGACTTAATAAAGTACACTAGCGGTCAAAAGGTTTTGGAACACTCAAATTTATCCAGTTTTTATTGAAAATTATTCAGTTTAAAATCATTACACTGTGAAATGAAAGCATAGCACAAATAAGCAATTGGAGCTAAAAAAAAAGATAAAGAAATCATAGATTCAATTTATAGAACAAAATTTATTCTAAACTTCTAGACTCATCAAAGTAGCCACCTTTGGCAGATATAACACACCTGTGGCATTCTTTCTACAATAGAAATAAAATATTCTTCAGAAAGTTCTTCCCATATCTGTTGCAGAAGTTCCCATAAATGTGTGGCACTTGCAGGTTGCTTTGCTTTCACTCTTCTGTCCAGTTCATTCCAAACCAGCTCGATGGGGTGTTCGAACTGTGCTGGACACTCCATGTTTTCATGCTTTCAATCATGTTCCTTTTTCCTGAATCAGTTCTGGCAGTGCTTAAACTTATGTTTTGGGTCATTATCTTGCTGTAGGACCAACTAGGCGCATACAAGCGGGTATTGCATGGTGCTGCAGAATGCTGTCGTAGCCGTTTTGGTTCAGGGTGCCTCTCGCTATGTGAAAGTCACCGACCCTGGATCCAGCAAAACAGCCCCAGGTAATCACACTTCCTCCTCCATGTTTGACAGTTGCTGCCACACACTATGGAACCATCCTTTTGCCTACTTGAAGATGTACAACGATCCTGCATGATGAACTAAGATTTCAAATTCTGATTCATCAGTCCATAATACCTTCTTTCAGTCTTCAGTAGTCCAATGGCGACGTTTCATGGCCCAGGCAAGCCTCATTGTCTTATTCTGATGTCTTAGCAGTGGCCTTCTTGCTGCAACTCGTCCTGTCAAACCTGCAGCTCAAAGTCTTCTCTTGAGTTGAAACTGATACTTACTTACTACAACCACTATTAAGCTGTTGTCCTGTGAGCCACCTATCACGCAAGCTGTTAACTCTCAGATACTTGTCCTCTGAGCCAGTTATGGCTTTGGCTGTGCCAGACCTCTTCCTATCAGAGTTTGTCCCAGTTTCTGAGAGCCTTTTAGTTATGAATGAAACTGTATTCACTGACATTTTGACTTTCTTTGCAATTTCCTACATTTTTAAGTGTTATGATGGTCTTTCTCTCTTCCATTGTTAATTCCCCTTTTCCTCACCATTTTTGCAGCAACACGCTACTTTCTGCAATACAGTTGTCATGGATCGGTGGGAAGAAAGGGGACCCAAACACTGAACTCTTCCAAGAGAAAACAGTGAATTTATTTACAGTGATTAATACGAATAAATATGTACAATTTACAAGTACTGAGGCTTCAGAAAGTCCTCCACACTGTGCGAATGTCTGTGCTAGCGAAAAAAAACAGCTCCAACAATCTGTGCTTCAACCCGTGCTTCTATTCACAATCCCGTGCTCATGCTCTGACTCGTGGCTCCTCTCTTGTACTTCTCCCGTGAATCAGTTTCTGCTCTCCAATCCCTGGGGACAACCCCCCCCCCCAAAAAAAACACGTGTTAGCAGGCAATTTTAAAACAAACAAGCGAGGCTCATCCCGGTTCTATTGCCGAGAAGTAACTCAACAACCCAACGTCGACTGGAGGTTAGCCACACTGCTAAATAGGTCGCTCTGATGACAGCAATCAGCGCAGCCATCACTGCTTTTATGCAGGCAGAGGGGGTTGTAAGTAATCCAGAAAAGTTGGAACACCTGTAGGAATTAGTAGCACCAGCTTTCAAGGCTCGATCACGCTCCATTGATGCAGAACAGCTTTAAATTGTTGACCCATTTGGTGTTCGCTAAAAAAGGCCTAATTCTAAAATGTGCATTATTTTTCAGTAACCTTACTTTTTTTTTAAACCCCTGGCACTTCACAACTTACCCTTTATAATATTTCAAACTATTCATTGGACTTGAACAACTTCTACTGCAAAAAATAAATGGAAAAATTGAGGTGTTCTAACACTTTTGACCGGTGGTGTACTTGGAATGAGTGTTTCAACACTTCTTTTAAGATATTTCTTACTTCTTTAAAGTCTAGATATTGTTTCTTATTTCAAGAAGCCTTACCAACTTTAAGTAACTTACTGCACTGGCAGGCTATTTCACTTGACTGTGGTCTGGATCTTCTCAAATTAAATATTTTTTCCTTATATTTGCATATAAGTCAACTTTTGCAGTGAGTGTTGTCAAACTTTATTTTGTGACCATCGCTCTGCCCCAATCATTTTCTTTCTGTGAGCCACCAATTCAATTCAATTCAATTCAATTCAATTCAATTCAATTCAATTCAATTCAATTCAATTCAATTCAATTCAATTCAATTCTTTATTTATTTGTCACATGTAGTTATAACTAGTACAACACACAGTGAAATGTTTTTTCCGGCTAAAAAGTACCCCCCCCCCCCCGACTGTGCATCTTACTAAACTTATAA